AGTCGAAAACACGTTCGACATGATTTCTTTGTTTTACAAAACTTTATGAGTTATATTACAGCATCACTAGCATGTTCTACAACTTTTTAATTGAAAACACGGTCGACATGATTTCTTTGTTTTACAAAACTTTATGAGTTATATTACAGCATCACTAGCATGTTCTACAACTTTTTAATTGAAAACACGGTCGACATGATTTCTTTGTTTTACAAAACTTTATGAGTTATATTACAGCATCACTAGCATGTTCTACAACTTTTTAATTGAAAACACGGTCGACATGATTTCTTTGTTTTTACAAAACTTTATGAGTTATATTACAGCATCACTAGCATGTTCTACAACTTTTTAATAATTGAAAACACGGTCGACATGATTTCTTTGTTTTTTACAAAAACTGTATGAGTTATATTACAGCTTCATAAATATGTTTTATACATTTTTCAGATGTTTGTACGCATAATGGACAATCGACATTAACAGAAAACAGAATGAATAAATCATGTCCATACAATGTTATGGAGGAAGGGGTTATGATTGTGTGACGATGGCAAAAACTTCAGCTAACTTTCTTTCTGGCAAAACCTATTTGTTTGTATGAATATACTAGCAGCAGCTTTTCCTAATATTATATTAGAGACTTATGTCTCAAAAATTACGTATTCTGATATGAATATCCGTAATTATCAAATATTGACAAAAGAGGAGACAGCCAGTAAACAACACTTGCGGAATTATGCGGATTTGTATTCAATTTCAAGATTAACTAACACTTTTATAGTGCACCCATTGCTGAAAGTACAGATAGTGTTAAACGACATTGCGGTGCAAACATTGTACCCTATGAACTCTAGCTCGGTAGTTTGTTTCAGTGCAAAGCTATACAATGGGTTGTTTGTGCTCTATCCATCTCGGGGAATCGAACAATGGATTTTAGCGTTGTAAGTCCGGACACTTTTATTAACCCACCGTGGAACCTAACCCCACATATTAACCACTCAATTTGTTAACCACTCATATTTAGTATTCAGTTATTTATTAAAGGGCAGTATTTGTTGTATTGTTCGTTTTAGCGTAGAGCTACATAATGGGCTATAACTGGGGACATTAAAAAGTACAAACAGAATTTCATCTCTATGAAACAGGTGAGTGTATGATAACATTACGTTTTCTGTACAAAAACAGGAACAAAAAACAAAATTTCAACAACAACAACAAAAATCCAGATTCACCCAAGGTAATTTTTTCGGTTAACCTTCTACTTTTTCAATGTTATTTTTCAATTACTTTTGTAAAGATATATATATATATATATCATTTCCCACTAAAAGTTAATTTCGTGGAAATGTTCAATTATATATTTTTATTTATTTTGTAAATTGTATTACAGTTGAAGAAGAAATTATAATAAATTCAAAAAAATGTTGTGTACTTACTACCAAGACTTGTGATATATATTAACCATAAATAAACTACTGTCAGCCTTTTCTACTTAGCACGTCCTTGTTTTTATGTATGAAAACATAATGAGTCAAATAATTTTTCAAGGATTCATTTGAAGCTATATATGTATGTATAATGTAATGTGTTTATATATTTGTTCTTTACTGGAATCCTATTGCTGAACTATATGTTTTAGAGAACTAGTTCGAATAAAAGTAATATTAATATATTATAATATACTTGAGAGAACTTGTATATAGATACGTATATATAACTGTTTGTTAACAGGATTTACGTAGATGCAGTGATCAACCATATGACTGGAAATATTGGTGCTGGTCATGGAACTGGAGGAAGCTACTTCGACCCTATTGCTCTTAAGTATGATGGAGTTCCTTATAGTGATTGGGACTTCAATACTAATGACAAGTGTGGGACTCCTAGTGGAAATATCGAGAACTACGATGATTCCTACCAAGTAAGGAACATAAAGGTTTTCATTTCAGTTATTAGCTGGGCATGTTGTCTTCAGTATGTTTGAGCACACCAATTTATTCTGCTCTTTAAAGTTGATTCAGTTAAATGTTATTTGTTTGTTTTAAATAACAGTGTTACTAAAGAAAAACACCTCAAATCTATTATTGTTATACTTATTTTCATTTGTATAGTCTATGATATCTCTATGAAGTTATATGTATTATGTTTGTTTGTTTTGAATTTCGCGCAAAGCTACACGAGGGCTATCTGCGCTAGCCGTCCCTAATTTAGCAGTGTAAGACTAGAGGGAAGGCAGCTAGTCATCATCACCCACCGCCAACTCTTGGGCTACTCTTTTACCAAAGAATAGTGAGATTGACCGTACCATTATAACGCCCTCATGGCTGAAAGGGCGAGCATGTTTGATTGACGGGGATTCGATCCCGCGACCCTCAGATTGCGAGTCAAGCGCCCTAGCCACTGGCCATGCTGGACCATGCATTATGTATTCCCAACTCCTAAAGCTATCTGCCCTCCTTCGGCGGCTCATCGATAAGTCTGAGGACTTACAACGCTAAAAATCGGGTTTCGATACCCGCAATGGGTACGTAACAAATAGCTCATTCTGTCGCTTTGCCCTTGACAACAAACTGAAATTATTTTGAATAGTTCTAATATCATGAATTAATTTTTTGAGTGACTTAAATGTAACTTAAATAAGAAGTCTACTGGTATGACATTAGAAAATGCTTCCGGCAGATGTTTCGTTCCTAGTAATTCCATCGAATCCATCTCGGAAAACAGTTTTTGAAACATTTCTTACCCCAATCCTTTAAGTTTTGTTATTGATATAGCTTAAGAAATGCTGAAATCAAGATAATTTATTCGTTTATAGGTACGAAACTGTAGATTAAGTGGCCTTAATGACCTGGATCTCGGTAAAGATTACGTACGTGGAAAAATCATCGAATATTTAAACCATTTAATTGATATTGGTGTCGCCGGATTCAGAGTGGACGCTGCTAAACACATGTGGCCTGTGGATTTGAAAGCCGTATTTGAAAACCTTCACGATCTTTCAACAAAATGGTTCAAACCCGGAACTAGGCCGTTTATTTTCATGGAGGTCATTGATCTTGGAGGCCAAGCAATCAGTGTGCGAGAATATAATCACTTAGGTCGAGTGACGGAGTTTAGATACGGCTACAAACTTGGTAAGCATATAGTTACAAGGTTTTTATTGCTATGATAGTATATAAAGAATTTTGCCACAAAAATGTATGTTACATGAAAATGAATACCATGGAAATATCCTGTAGTCGAAAAAAAATCTCTCAGAAGTGTGTGTTTATGGATGTCGGTAATGACACAAGTTATCCAAAATTACTAAGTCAGGTCGTTCATAGGTAAGCTGGTAAGTTTATTTCATAACATAGCTTTATACGTAGTTTATAAAGTGTTTTCTTCTAGGACTAATTTCATTGCTGCTTTCCAATAAACTTAACTGTAAAATACAGGGTGGTCTAAAATTAGCCTTCCTCTTTTAAAATTTAATAATTAGGTAACATGCAGTTTTAAATATCTTCTAGTCCAACTCAAACACCTTTTATTGACATGTGAGTAGACTCCTACGTGTGCACTATTAGTGGTTCTTAGCAGGTCTACCCGCTATTCGATTTCAGTCCACGTTCGCTGCAACATGTCTACAGTTACAGGGGCGATGATATCCGTTATCCTGGTCTTTAGCTTCGTGATGTTTGCTATAGGTGTGCGATACACGATGTCCTTAGCATACCCCCAAAGAAATAAGTCTAGTGAAGTGATGTCTTGCGAATGTGGAGGTTACGGAATTGGCCAACCCTGTAAGCCAAATGACGCATTAAGCCTTTTCTTGCATGGTTGCCATTTTACGGGTTGACACTACCCACTGGAGTGAAAAAAATACAAAAACATGACAGTAAAAACTGTTGGATGTGGGCTTCTTGAGGTATGCAATGTTAAATTGGAGGTATGATTGGAAACTTTATTTTGGTGAATCTATATTTTTTTGCCTAGTTTTTGTACAAAGCTGGTCTGATAGTAAGCAGAATCCACTTTATATTCACTAATATTGTTCCTAACTTGACCCTTGTTCAGTATCCAGATGTGATCAGTAAGCCCTTTGAAAACTATTCGCGATGTGCTGTTTACAGCTTCTCTAGTTTTTTCACCCATTGACTGCTAGAAAAGGGCACGAGACATGTTACATTTATCAAGGTACACACATGTTTCGTCGAACTTTACCGTGCCCTGCCATTTTTTCCACATAGGTATCTTTCATACAATTTTTGATACTTGGTCTTTCTTTCTAGAATATGTCGTAGAAGTAACTTGTGTCGCTTATCCACACAAAGATCCTTTATTTATTATATTGCATACTATTGCTTGGAGCATGTGAACGGCTTTTTCATTGATATTCGTGTTCGTGGATCCTCATCTGTTACAAGACGCCAAACTTTGCTTACTATAGTTAGGATACGACTAGCTTTAGGTCTATTTTTGGGTGGTCCTGGTGCCCAGAATTGTCACATATTCCTTTGTTCCAATATCATTAAGTAGAAAGGATACCCCTATCTTCTCAAAAGCGATCATTTTTAGGTGGTATCACTCTACCTACGAAAGCCCAAGTATGTCAAAATGATACTATCCATCGGCTGTGGTTGACAAAGGTCTTATTGAGTTGTATATTCAAAAGTAGCTTTTACTTCAGCAATACGAAAAATGACTTTAATGTGAAATTGTAGCAGAACTTAACAGATATTTTTAAGAGAGACAGTTGAATATTTTGGTTTAATTTTAACTAATGTTATAAAGTGTATTAGCCTTTTGTTTCTGTTAACTAATTATTCAACTAGTCATATAATAAGAATATACGCATTAAATACTTATGGTAACCTTAACTGTTACCTAAATCTTGAATTTAAAAGTGCAGCGTAGTTATTACCATAATGAACGTTTTAGGTTCAAATAGGTAAAAAAATAATTACATGTAGAACCATTTTTAAATGCACTTATATATACGATATTGAATGACATTTCCCTCTGTATCGACATGTGTGTATCTTTTGGACAACTTATTATGCAGTCCTGTGAAAGAGTATCATTGCTGACGTCTAAATCAAAATATTTGAGAAATTGGGTGTTATTGAGCGCCACTAGCCTATTGGTATAGTAGTTGTGTTTGTGAAACAAATAAATGATAAATTTTGTAGGAAATGAATTAGTTGTGTATTTGTTTCAGTTACCTTTGAAATTAAACTATTTTCATAAATATATAATTCATAATATATTTACCCAGTTCAAGCTTTTTAAATTAAATTTGAATTGTATCTAATTCATTAACAAATATTGATAAAAGCAATAAAGAATAATTTTATAAAATTTACTGATTTTCGGAAAAGTATTTAAGTTAAGAAACTTTATTTTATAAATTTTGTAGTTTGGAAGTATTTAATTTAATTTAGAATTTTCTGAAAATTAATGTAACTTATTCATTTTTACCACACTCTAAAGTAATTTTTCGATCTCAAGATTTTTTAAAGAACTTATGAAAGTACAAAACTTACATGATATGACCAGCATTATGAAAAATGCTTTGGTTTAAGAAAAATACAACACAAAAAACTACAAAAAAAAACAATCTTTCATAAAACCTATTAACACTCATAAGACTATAGTTGATTTAACTATAACAACTGTTTTGGAATTAAGAAATTCTATTTTGTACAGGATTATGACAATTCTCAAAGTTATTTTTGAAAAATGAGCGTCTTAGAGTTTTATAATTTGTACTTTTACAGAATTTTCCATGATTTATGTTCTTTAGATTGTATTAACTTCAACAACACCACATACTTGATAAATGATATTTTGAATTCAAGGCTGAAAATGAGCTGCTCTTATTTCATAACTTATATCACGCTTAGTTAGGTTGAGATTTAACTTTTGATTGACCCTCATCTTTGCCTCAGTCGCTGCTAAATTTATTTTGCATTCAAAATTGAAATAGTAGAAATCACATTTTCACAAGTCACCTTATTTATGCAACAATTTCTGAGACAACACATTTGTAGCAATAAAAGAAATAGTGAATTTGCCATATTTGGAGTTCATGTGTTTAGTGAAACACAAAATTATCAAACACATTTTTAATGTATAGACTCAAAACAAAACAAATAAATCACAGTTTTCTTCAATATTAATATCTTTAATCGAATACTGGAATACCTATAGGATAAGAAAAACATTTTACTTCAGATATAATTGATTCTATCAGATAAACTACTTCTGAGAGTAATATCAAATTTAAATGATATAAATATTCACACATAAATCCTTCCTTATTGTTAGTGTGTCATATGTCTTTTATTTTCTGACCATAAATGTTTTAACATCGTTGAATTAACATATGTAACTATATATATTTTTTGAGATTGTACCCCATTATAACATCTTATAGATGCTGTCACTGTATCTTAGTGACCATCATTAATTAATAAGTTGTTCAATAACGATTATTTTACGTAAGTTAAATGGAGCTTATTTTTCACATTATATACAAAAATGTCCTACTTTTTTCTAATACATTGTCTCTGTGATTAACCGTTGGTGCGAGTTATTTAAAGGTAATTTCTCTCAATTGTGATTATTTTGGCCATGGTCTATGTTTTCACTGTCCTTATATGGGCCTTCTTTGATTGAAAAAAAAAAGACAAATAATCAGTAGCATATACAGTTCCCTTCAGATGAGTTCGGTTTGCGCAGATTATGAAATCTTAATTGCTTTGTATTAATTTGTTTCTGGTCAGCACAGTACATTGGACAATGATACAGTTTTCACTTATAACAAAGAGAATGATTAACTAATTCGAACTTCTGATCAAAACAGATTTAACTGTGATTGTCCCGACTCACATTTATGGATTAATAAAGCCAGTTCATTGTAATAAACTGGCTAGAATCACTTGATGCCATAAATAAATAATTTCAGGAAAACTAAAAACCCATAATAATTAGAATAATTTAAATCATCAGTTGTGTACTGTTTTTGTCATTGACATTTTCGGCCAAAATATAAATAATAACTTTCGACGTTCGACCAGTTCGGAAGGTTTAAGTTAGACTTAAATACACATAACAAACAATATAGATTTTTCAAAAGTGTGAAATTAATTTTAGAATATTCATAGTAATACTAAACATCATATCTAACAGTATTTAATTAAAATAAATATTAACACGGCCAACAGTCTTAATCAAACCAATATTACCCGGCTATTCGAAGAGTTGTCCCCTGGTAGGACAACGATAGATTTAATGACTTACAACGCTAAAATCCAGGGTTCGATTTCCCGCGATGGACACAACAGATAGCCCAATGTGGCATTGCTCTAAAAGAAACAAACAAACAAACCGAAGAATTATACTGATGGTCTCTTACTGAAACCTTTAATAATTGAAACACCAACATAAGGTAATCTAATATAGAGTTTTTCCAAACAACAGCAAATGGTCAATAATATTTTTCAACCCCAACCGTGTAATTTCAGTTTCACAACAAAAATATGGAAAATTTTGTTATATGTACCATTACAGAGGATCCAAATGTAGAAATTAATATTTAGCTATTTAATATTTTGGTTAAATTGAATGCTTGTTATTGTATGTATATTAGGAAAATATGTTAAGCAAACAGAAAGTTTAACTTTGTTATAGTTATCTCAGGATTTTTCTTTTTTCCCTGTGGCAATAGGTATACTATTTTGGCAAAAAAATCCATTCTCCTCTGATTAATATATTTATGCTGCAATATTAAACTGATCAGTTGAACATTAGCAGGATTTTCGTCAACTGGCTGTTTACCGTTGGTATTCGTTGCATAAATATTTTATATAATTTACAATATGCTGTTACTTCCTTCGACAAAATATTTAATTCACATTATGTATAATAATCAGTATTCTTAAAATCATAAATAATATTCAACGTTAAACTGGTACTCAATTAAAAACATTTTATCTAGGCCTATCTATGGCCTTCAAAAAGTTAACGACTCTACATGTTTCGACGTACTACGTCATCCTCAGGATGTTTTTAATTGTGTACCAGTTTAACGTTGAGTATTATTTATGATTTTATCATAAAACACAAGTGCCAAAATACTATAATTAATCAGTTTTCTTGTTTACAGGAAATGTAATACGGAAAAATGGAGGTGAACAAATGCAGTATTTGAGAAATTTTGGTCAAGGATGGGGGTTCGTTCACGAGTATGACGCCCTCGTGTTTATCGACAACCACGACAACCAGAGAGGCCATGGAGCTGGTGGGCTTGACGTCATCTTAACCCACTTTGAGTCTCGGATGTACAAGATGGCCACTGCCTTCATGCTAGCATGGCCTTATGGATTTCCTCGAATTATGAGCAGTTACAATTGGCCACGTCACATTGAATGGGGCAAAGATAAAAATGATTGGGTTGGTCCACCCCACGACGACGACTACAAAACGCTACCCGTGATTAGAAATTCTGACCTGACATGCGGAAATGGATGGGTTTGTGAACACAGGTATGTAAAAGTATCTGCCACACATTTTAAAGCATACAAGTACAGTGAAAATATTTGTAAATACCGATACTTCTACC